CCACCTAAGGGGTGAGATATGCCTCTGCCACCTCCTAATAAGCAGCTGACAGCCACAAGGCTCCATGACTGGCTCATCCACTCCTTTAGTGAGTTATACTGCACCCATGAATTTACTCACCTTCTCCTCCGGATTCGGCAGGGACCTTGTGTCGACCTGCCTCAGGTACTCAACTGTTTTTATGGAGTTCTGGAACTCCACGTCTGCCTTTGTACGGCAGACACGATGGACCATGAAGTCCATATAGCTGATTATTAGGTGCTGCACACGGGTAAGCATTGATGTTGTGGTAGGTGTGGGTTGTGGGGGTTGAGGTGGGGCTTAGGGTGGGGCGGGAGGTGGCATGTGTGGAGGGAGAGGATGGAGGGCATTGTATTCGCAACATAGGTGTGGCATGAGATGCGAAGCAAAAGTATAGTGTCTCCAGATTAGGGTTGCATAAATGGCGTGCGACAGCTATATGTTATTTAGGGTTTAGTCTCCATCTGTGTCACTTGTTGTTTTTGCTTGTCAGGTCCATACATCCAGCGAACTAATGTACCTAATCTTCACACCACAAAAGCACATACACATACACATACACATACACACCTGGTTGGAGAACAGCCTCAACGACAGGGAGGTCAAGCTGACCTTCATCCAGCCGTGGGCGAAGCCAAGGAACTTGGATACCGTGCTCTTGAGGCCCCGATAGGTGGATTGACGTACCATTCCAGTCCCCTGGCGCTCAAAATTGTAGGGCTGCGTCCAGAACGCCTCAAAGTCATCGATTTCGGAGGTGATGGGCATCATGGATGGCATTTGCCGTTAAATTTCTGAAATATGCCAAACTGGCTGATGTCTGTACTGTCCCACAGCTTCCTGGGGAGGGCAGTGGGAAACTCCTCCCCCACCGGGTAAAAGAGCGACTTTGGGGATGCTGGGGGGCCCTGTTGTCGTGCAGCTCCTGCAGCTCGAGAGGGTGCAGGCTGGTGGCTAGTGGGGGTCGCTACTTGTGATGAAGGCAGAAGATTAGGGGAGGTGACGGGGTGGCGGGGGGTTGGCCTG